TTAAAAAATACTAAATACAATTAAATTTTTTAGGCAAATTTGTCTAGAATACAGTTTAAGAGATAGTTAAGCTTTTATATTAGTTAGGATTATAAAGAATAAGTTTTTACAAATATATAAAAAAATAGCTTAAATTATCAAATTTAATTAATTTATTAAATCTATAAATTAACTATTCAAATATATTTCTTATTTAACTTTCAAATTACTTCACAATTACTTTGATAGTTTATAAAATAAGATCTAAAAGAGGCATGCCTAATTTAATGCAATGCCGAATTTAATATATAATAATATCTTGAGAACTATTGATCAAAATCGTATGATTCTGGTACTTAGTGTTTGAAAAAGTTAAATTAGATCGGATTTGGATTTTGTGCAAATTCTAAATGTCAGATTAATTTTGGCCCAGAAAATTCAGATTAGGCCGGATTGAGCAAGATTGGGCCTAATTTTAGGTCATATCTTTATATAATCACTGTGTATGATAAAATCAAATATGTCACATGATAAATTTGAATATATCACAATTTGTATCACAATTTATATGATATATTCGAATTTATCACATATATTGTGACATAATTTATGTACCAAATTTTAGCTCAACTGTCAGATTGACACAGATCACTCACAGATCAATCCGAATTTCAGATTCAGATCAAATTCAGATCAATCCTGGATCAATTAGGATTTTTAATCCGATTTTGAACACTACTAGTACTATTCGATTCATTTCATCGAGACAAATTGAATAGTACCAAAATCATATAATTCTGATTGATAGTTCTCAAGATACTCTATTTGACCAAAATAGCTCAAGATAGATATATCTAGTTTGACGCAAGTAAATGTTTATAATAAATATCATGTGATATATTGATCAGAATCACAATATTTTGATATCATTCAATTTGTATCATTGAAACAAATCAAATGTTACTAAAATCTTGCGATTCTGATCAATATATTCTATAATATTTATCATAAACATTATATCTGTATCAAATTAGGCACTATATCAAATTAGAAACATATTTTTTAGACAACCTTTAATAAGTGATATCTCACGATTTAGTAATTAGAATTGGATGATTTTGATATCATTCAATTCATCTTATCAAAATGAATCGAATAATATTAAAATTATCTAGCTCAGATCAATATATTATATAATATTTATTAAAAACATTAGCTGTATCAAAATAGAACTTCCTTCCTTATATTTTTTAATTTTTTTTGTCTTATTCTTTCAGAATTCATATTCATAACTTGGAATTCAATCTTGTAACAGAAAATTGATACTATATATTTTCTAAAATAAACTATATTAAAAAAAAACTACTACAGTCTACCCCTTCTATAGTTACCTCTTTTATAGTCACAAAATAAATATAATCATAGTTTTATTTTTATCAATCTTTTTTATATTATTTATATCTCTATATAGACACAACCACCTTATAGTCACTATCACATTTTTTTGTTAACCAATCATATAATATCTATATAAAATTATCCTCTATAAAATCACACTATAAATAAAAAAATTAGATAAATTTTATCTTTTATTCAATTTATTAGCATAACAATTCTAATGCATCTTTAATTTTTGTAGATTAGCCAAATTTAGTTTGTATGTATATATACATAATATAACTACTTTTGGTTGTTAAATTTGACTAGCCCTATACGTATATACATATGTTCACACATAGTAGAGGTACCATAACTGATCACAATATTAAAATATCTTAATTTGTAATATGGGATCAGTACTTACAAGAATATTAATACAAATTAGTAATATTTAGGCTTTGTCTTATATTCTTGAAAGACAAATATAATATCATTAAGGCAAATACGGTCAGATCTCTCTAAATGCATTGCAGCAGAACTATATACAAAAATTGAGTCAAACATGTATTTAGAAGGGTACTGCATTTAGAGAGATAAAAACTATAAGTGCTATATTAATTGGTTCCAAGGTAAGATATGCATTTAGAGAGACATGAATTTAGGAAAATTGTATTTAAAGGGATCTGACCATATTTTGCTATTTGAGCATACTTTTATTACTATATAGTATTTAACATTTAGGCTAGTTTTTTTATTTTAGATCAAAGCAGTATTCTTTATTTCTAATGAAGCATTGCTCTCTCGTGATTTGATAACCAAAACTGCTTCCAGTATTCAAACTAAATAAAACAAAAAAAAATATCATACCAAAAAAAAAAAAAAAAAAAAAATATTGCACCAAATAAAAAAAAAAAAAAAAAATTTGAATTTAGAACATGATGAACACGATGTCTACAGTACTAGGATTGTTGAAAAAAAGATAAGATTGAAGTTTGTTTTTAGATTTATTTTTTTCATATCACCATTCTTTGAGCTTTTTCCATAATACAATTAACCCATTCTCATCAAACCTTTTCCAACGTCGAGACCCTCTTGATATCTTATAACTTTCTCTAATACCTTAACAGCCTCTGTTATAGTTATCGGAGTAGTGGTTCTTCTTTGTCATTATCCTTATCATTAGTTTCATTATCATAAAATTTATCCATTACCATTTCAATAATACCTTCATCTATTAGTATGTTCTCTGTCACAGCTAGTTGGTCAATCATTTGGATATATTCTTCGATATTATTTGATAATTCTTGAACTACCAGATTAGTTTCAGCTAAAAGGTCTTCAAGTAGCATAGCAATATCATCATTATTAATGGTCTCGTCATGAAGTTCGTTATCTAATTCATATTCTTCTAGCTCGTCTGTTTCTAGCATAATGTTGGTAGCTTTCTAGCAATTCCTTATAGTGTTTTTACTAACTTCTCTCCAAGTATCAGAGATAAAATCGATGGCTTTTTTCAAGAAAAGTTTTCTATATTATGTAAAACTGTTAGTATCTAATGATTTAAAATGATATTAAAGTTTTTATTTCTTATGATTTTTACAGAATTTTATAACACAAAAGCAATTGTTCACAAAATTTATTGCCACAGCTGATGCTAAAATTGGACCTATTTTGATATGAAGTTTTAAAATATTTTTGAAATATTTTTTTTTGTTTTTTTTTTTAGGCTTGGTTAGAATTGATAATTAAAGTATATCTGTAGATTTTAGCAGGGATTATATTTCGAGACCCAAATTTTAGCAATAGCTGTGATATTTATTTTTGTTGGTTCTTTTTTATTACATCTAACCTGAATGATTAAAAGTACAATAAAACCTCTATAAGTATATACACACATTTGGAATTGTTATATATCAATTTAAAATATGCTTCAAATCAAAATAACTATAATGCTGTTAACATTTACTCCTACCCTAATATAGGATTTCACTCTAATCCTAATAAAATTCAATATTTAAATTTTGATTTGATACAAATTTTAGTTTGACATATGATATATATATCTTCGGTCCCAAGTTTGAGTATTCATTTAGAGTATGTGCATCTATAGAGGTTTTACTATAAATTCTTATCTTTAATCCTTATTTTTCTTAAATTGGTCAAGCAAGTAATGATAATATAGGTTCTTATATTTTGATTTAAACTTTTAATTATGCCTGCATCTATCAACTGAAGGTGAGCAGTCATATTGGGTAAAAGGAAATATATAGTGATATTAGTAAGACAAAAATTTTTCAAATTTCATCTTGATTGGCTTGAATGGTAGGATTGAATCTTTGAAATCCTCATGATCTTCCTCAAAATCTTCCTCAGGACCTTTCTCAGAGCCTTCCTCAGGACCTTCCTTGTGGTTCTCTCTGGGGTTCTTGTTGATCTTCAATTTCTTTAGTAGAATCTTTTTCTAATAATAATTCCTTAGTATCATCTTGAACTTTGGGTATATTATTTGTTTCTGGAGTTATGTAAGAAGCTGCATTGTCAATAAGAAGCAGGATTTTCTTACTTTGAATACGAAAATCTTTGTTAATAAATTTTAGCTATTTTTCCCAAATATTATTTCTTATCCATACTTTTTTATTATTATGATAAGTTACTGGTAGCTTCGATATATTTATCCTGTTAAAAGATCATAGCTTTTTAGAGGTGCCAATGACTAATAGCTATAACTTGTCAGTGCCAGTTGAGTTAAAGCAAAGTAGCACTGTTATTCTTGTTTTATCCTAAAAAAAAATATATATATACAGTAAAACCTCTAAATGCATCCCCTTAGGCGTAGTTCTGTTCACCTACAGTATGATTTACCAATATTCAATTCACTGACAAGTTTATTTCACTGACAAGTTCATTTTACTGACAATACGATTTACCAACAGTCATTTCACCACAAAGTAATTTTGATCATTGTTATTAGAGTTAGGCTAGAATTAGAGTTAAGGTTAGTAAAATTTATAAAAAAAACTTGTCATTAAAACATACTATCAATGAATCGTACTATCAGTAAAATAACTTGTTGATGAATTGAATGTTGGTAAATCGTACTGTCGGTGAATTGTTTTTCAGTGAAATGAACCGAATCCCTTAGGCTCATAATAAAAAAAGGACAAGTTATACATATAAAGAGGATGTGTATTTATAGAGAGCAAAATATATAGTGCTTTTTATAAGTTAAGACCAAGCTCTACTATGTATTTAAAGAGAATTTACATAGAGCGTGCACTTATAAAACATGCATTTAGAGAGGTTTTACTATATATATATATTTTTTTTTACTATTTTTTTTTTTTAGTAATCTTTTTTTTATTAAAAAAGTTTAATTAGAAAGTAAATAGTAAAATAGACCTGTTTCATTAGCATTGTATATATTTTCAGAGCTATAATGAGACAGAAGTTATTGTAATTTAATTTGTTCAGCAGGTAAGCTTGCTAGGGTGTACTTGCTATCTCGCTATACATTACAATTTTTTTTAATCCATTATGTTTCTTAAATCTAGTAATCCACTTATTTGAAAATGCAAATGATTCTTCAGGTATAGCAAGTGCTTGTGCAAATTGGTGACCTTTTTCTTTTATTAATACCTCTGATATAATCATTTCTTCTGCTATAACCCACTTTATTTATATATTCATAGCGAGTTCTAACATAGGATACTTCACAAAATGATAACGAAAAGTATTTTCAGCCTGTATATCATTATCTTTAAGTTGTTAGTATTTATCTGTTTTTTTTAATATCTTTGATATAGTTGTACGATCAATTTTCAAATCTGAATAATACTTCATGAACTCATTTGCAATTTCTTGTTATTTATAGAATAGATTTTGTTTTGCAAAATCGCAATTTTTTTTTTGTTTGTTACTAATACAACAACATATCTTTTTGGGTACAGACTCAGGAGACATATTACTAACAATGATTATAGCAGGTTGGTAGTTTAATAGTATTTATCTTTTAAAAAAATTTGTAAAATACTATAAAAGACATAGTAAATTCTTTAGATTTTTGACATACCCTTTTATTATTATTAAATTTTTTTTTTTAAAAAAAAAAAACTTAAATAGTTGACGGCTTATGATAATACGCAAAATATAGTATTAGCGTATTATGTTTGCTTGAACTTGAATTAAAAGGTTAAATTATTAGCACTTTTTTATATTCGATCAACTTTATACGTATGCATGTATGTATATATAAAGTGTAAATATATTATTATTGCTACCCACAACCCAAATTGACAATAACTTTGTTCACAGACAAGACAGGCTTTTGTGATTCAGAACCATACCCGAAAACTCAGGTCAAGATCCAGAGTTCAATACTTTACTATATCTGCTACTATGGTCACTTTTTCCAAATTAGTTCATGCAAATTTAATTATAATACTTGCATTACTGCATGACGCATTTTAAGTATTAACTTTTTAGAACTCAATCATATTTTTTTTATCATTCTATATTAAATAGGAATAGATTAGCTCTGGTAAAGATGAATAAGGGTAAGTTTTTTTAACCGGTCCTATAGCTCCATTCTTGAAACTAGCCTAAGCTGATATTATAATAGTCAAAGTAGATAGCTAAATTTTAAAAAAGATACGTAATATAACTGATTTTATTGATTATAATTTAAGTTATTTGTTAACCAATAAATAGTAAATTTAAAGTACTAAGAACTGTTTTTAAACTGAGATCAAAAGATATTAATAAACAAGTCATATAGGAATGAATTGACCAGGGTGGCTATAAAAAATACAGATCATGTAGATAAAGCCTTTTGCCACAATTATAGCAGATGAATCAGTACTAGATTTATAGTAGATTTATAGTGTTATCACTAAATACAAAAGCTCTGCTTCTGCATCATATTTGCATATTATACTAGTAGCACCACCTACATGACCCATATTTTTTATAGCCATCCTAGTTGATTCTATAGAAATAGATTAGAAAAATCACTGTTCGAGAAAAATGCAATTATTCTGTCTAGGAACTTCTGATTAAGAGTTAATTTAGTAAAAAGAAGGGAGATAAATATATATAATCTGTAACAAAAAACACAGAGAACAAAGTATTCATGTGAGTCAAATATTTTTGTTATAGAGCGTATGAATTTGGTTAATATTCAGACTTATGCAATTTCAGTAATTTTTCATTGTTCAAACAATGAAAAATCCATGAAATCACATAAGCCTGGATATTTTAAATCTGATATGAATGTATAGATGTACATACAATAATATTATTTAATTTGGCATTTACTTTATCGTTGAATTTAACCAATAATATGATTGTTAAAATAAATCCAGATTTCAATTGAATTTAAATTCGAAGTTAAAGAGCACTAACTAAATAAAAAATAAATTTGGTTTTCAAACTCTAATTCTAAATCTTTACGATAGTTTATTATTCTTTTTAAAGTATCATTTAAATTAACAAGCTAGTATGTAAAATAGTACAACTAGATTTTAAGTACAAAAATATTTTAACCTGCTAACACTTCAAATTATTTTATTTAGCTCTAGATATAAAGATCATTTATTAGTTATTTGAATTAAAATAAGCAAACCGGTTTATAAATCAAGAACATATATACTTATTTACTATTTTATCCCTTAAATT